GAAGCTACTAGGAACAAGTGCATCGCTTCTAGTAACAAGTGCCTTACTGGTAGTAACAAGAAGCTACTAGAACCTCAGCGGTTTCGGCGTTCCCGAACTCTGCAGCCGAGGTGGAGCAAGTCCGCTGGCTCGAGAAGTCAGGACCTGATCCGCCGGTCGCCGGGGTTTCGAGGTCGGTTTGAGTCTTCCTTGGAACCAGCTTACCAGCTGCCAGGTGCGTATTTAGAGTGGTAAGATGTGGTAAGTGTGCGTGCACTATAGATTGCAGAGTCACAGCATCTTTCAGGTCTAACGGAGAAAAGATCAACTAACATGTGGTGGAAAGAAACATGTCCAGAAAAGTCGTCATCCAGTTCTGACACTTCATCTAATCTCACCGCCAAGGTCTTCGATCCCTAGCTTTGGCCTCAATGCCCGAGGCGCGGCAAACCTCAGTGAGTCGCCAGGGGGTGCCGGTTTTCGGATGTTTTCGGGGTCTAAGACTAAGACCATGGTGACAATGAGTGGGTCGGTGGTCTTGTCTTGTCGGTGATTTTTTTTGGTGTGTGGCTGTGTGGCGTGACTCGTTACACCTCGCATCCTAGGTCTCCTTGTTCGAGGATTGTTGGACGGAACAGGTCACTGTGTAGGTAACATGGTAGTTGGCACTTGAGGGTGAGTGTTCATGGGTACCTCACGCCCATTTTGGCTCAAGTGAGGTAACCACCCTACATCTGAACACCCGCCCACCCTGGTTGACCCAAGTTCAGACACGACCCGGTTGACACTGGGCGTTGCCAATCTCCCACCTTTGTGCACAAATGGCATAGGTATCAAAAACAATACAACGAACATTAAAAAAGTAAAACGATGATCAAAATAAAAATAAAAAACGAAAAAAGAACAAATATTCCTTGATACGCCTCTTCTGCTGCTCTCCTGGCCCTGTTGGGGAAAAAGAGATTGGATTGGAGGTTTTGTCTGGCTGGCAACCGAACCAGCAGCTGCCCCTAGGAAAATTATGTCAACCTGAGGGTGGAGGGTGGAAACTGATGGACACACGGAATGTTGGCCCTAACAACCCTAATAGGTCTCAATCGGTGACCTGTTGGAGGATGTTGGTCAAAAGGGCTGAACCACCCCCGGTCGGTGCGGAAGAGCCATCTCTTGGATGACCAGCTGCCCGCCTGAGTTGTGGGGGTTTGGCGAATCCGACCCACCAAGGAGAGGTCTTGGCGTGGAATTCGGCCATGGCCCAGTTGACTTGGCCTCGGGTGTTTGGGGAAGGGAGTCGGCGCACAGCGGCGCACACAATGGGTCGTGGGGAGAGACGAACTCGCAGGTCATGCAGACGATGGGCAGGTTGGAGTGTCAGGGTCTGACGTAGGGCGCCACGGGCAGGTTGGGTTCGACCCTCATAGGACTGGTCATCCCTTTCACACGGAGTCTATCAGATATCGGAGTCTATCTGAGAAACCATCCCCTCCCGGTGCGAGAAACACCGTCCAGATAGAGTCGAGGTCAGCCCTCAACGGTGGACGAGCCGCGGCACCACGAGCTTTGTTTGGCCTCAAGCTGGTAGTGCAAGTCAGCTTGGAGCTCCTGAGGCTCTAATGCAGACTCTTCAGGATGAACATAACGATAGCCCCCCCATACAGATCCATACAGTATATAATCCAAATGGGGTGGTCTTATGAATCAAGGGTCAACATTTTAGGTTTTGACCAATGGGTTCACCTGCGTCTCTGCCCCTGTCAAAACAGTGGGGCTTGCATTGCACGTGGCGGGCCCGAGCCCTGTCCTGGGGCCAGTGCAAGCAGCGCAAAGAAGCACAAGCAGTGCAGCGCAAAGAGGAGCCCGTTTTGGGAAGTTGTGACTTCCAAGTGCACATCAAGGTGTTTCCCCACTCCCCACCATGCTAGAATCAGCACCGACCAATCAGTTGAGCCCATCAGCTCATACGGAGAAGCAGTGATGAGATGTGACCCGCTTCTGTGACCGTGACCAATGGCGTGCGCGGTGCTTCCCATCTGCGCGCTCTGCGTGCTAGGTGCCACCTGGACGGGAAGGGAGGGGGGGGGGCGGAGGGCGGATGCGCGGACAAGATGTCGGAGATGTCTGGAGATGCAATTGGTCATGGACGACCACAGGACAGCACGACCAGACGGAGGAGGACCATTGGTCATGTCAACCGTCCAGTACGCAGTGGATTCCTTGACCCCACACCGAAGTCGGAGTCTGAAGATGTTTGTGAAATCTCGATCACCCAAAGGCTCACTAGAATTGGACCTCTTTGCATCTCTCAGAGCTGTGGTCCGACCAAAAAGATGCGACTATGAGTTGGTTTCTCACGTGTGGAAGACCTGGAGGGAAAACACAGTTTCTTTCTTCTCACAGTTTGCTTGACTTGAGAAGATCTGATTGGACCGTCCGGCAGTTTGGCGTTTTGGCTCGATGTCTGGACAAAGACAGAGCACCAAGAAGCACTAAGTCACGGTTTCAGCCCGGTGCGCAGAAGCAGGGGTTAAATTGTTTGGCACCAGATTCTTCTCCCTTGAATTGTGCCCTTGCAGTTTTTGTTGATCACAGTCATCTGATGTCATCTGCAACCCTGCAACTCTGTCACCTTTGAAGCGAGAGACCTTCGCTGCACAAAAGCCACAAGCTGAGCATGAGAAACCACTAAGAAGTGAGCTTGAGGTACATCACGTTCTTTTTCCAGGCCATGTCGCCAGTCATAGGTGGTGAACTGCCAGAAGATTCGTTGTGCCGGGACCAGTCGGGCGATTGCGCGAGCGCGCCGGAAGCGAACCGCTTGCTCCATGCCACGGTGGAGGAGTGAGGTCAGGGCCACCCGGTGCGTGTTGGCGCGATTCCGGCGATTCTGCGACTCAGGCGCTCCTGTTCCCAAGGTTTGGGGACCATACTTGTGCCTTGATGGTGTATATGATGCAGTTTGATGGAGCATGCCCTAATTGCATTTTGCTGAAATTGTGGAGCTGCATGCAAGGACACACAGTTGGTGGGAAGTTTTGTGCCTTACCTCCCTTGCCTTTTCAAAGCAGAAACGTGAGTTGGGTGAGAATCTGTTCGTTAGCGGAACTGTATGTGGCGCGGGGGTAGGTCGAAAGGGGCCTAGTCTGGTAGGGCTTTGAATCAACGGTCGAGCCGAGCCATGTGTGCTCAGCCCATCGCCGAGGCATGGAAGATGGGCTGCTGCGGACCTTCCACCTGGGGCTCTCAGATGCGAACGTGGCGCGCCGGCGCCAGGCCACCGCAGGGCCGGGGCTGAGGCAGATCTAGCTACCTAGAGCCTGAGTGATCTCTATTGTGGGCCACAAATGACCCCAAATATGGTCTTCATATGTCTTCATTATCCTGTCAAAACAGAGGTCGCATCCATAGCTATGCGTAGAGTAGGCCAGTGGTTTCGGTCAATCTTTCGTGTCTCCGTTTTAATGTACACCACAGCTCCGGGCTTTGTGACAAGCCGTGGCATACGCTAGGGTTGTTGGGTGGGTTTAGCTTTTTTCTCGCCCAGCACCTGAACTACATCTATACACAGTTTTGTTTGTTTCTTTCTTGCGGCCCCGATAGCGATGAACCGCTTATCCCACGCGCACACTATATGATGCGAACGATCTGAATGCCCCAAGCCACGAAGAAAGCTAGGCAATGAAGGATGCCTATATAGGTAAAACAGGTAGTGCATGACTGCGGACTGAAGCACGTCCCACGTCTCACGAGATCATCCCAGCTGAAGCTTGGTCAAGCTTGGTGACATCGCCCCTGCATTGTATATAGTTCAAAACGGAAGAAAGAGGCCGACTCTCGGCCCCCCTTATGAGTCCAAGGCTAAAAGAACGCACAAAATGACACCAGCTAATGACGGTTCAATGTAGATGGCACAAACTACTGGGGCAATGGAAATTGTGATCTGACTGACAGGTTCACAAATACTGATAATTGAGGGATGACAAGCACTATACATAAGACAGAGCATGCGAAGTGCACACCATCGGCCAGCGGATCCACCTTGAGAAGACCGTTCTAAGATCTTTGAAGGGCATGTCCTAAAACGGGAGGGCATTCAAAGGTTTGGGACAAAGAGGAAGTGGCCACAACTATATAGAGCAGTTGTTTTCCTCCCGCTTCTTTCTGTCGACGTGTGTGTTCGGAGCCATTTTTTTGCGTCGTTCTATGTGTTCATTATAGAATATGATCGAGTTATGATGAGATTATACATGTTTGATACGCATTTGGATTTGAACGCCCACCGGTGTGGACGCTCCAGGTCGCCCAGGCTGCGCGGACCGAGGACCGAGGCAGCCTGGGCTATGGAGATCGAGGCGTGGTGGAGGCGTGGTCCACGGCCGTGGTGTGAGAGAGTGTGGAGAACAGTTCAGGCCAAACCTGGATGAAGTCTGTATGATGGTTCCTGCTTTTCTTAGCCGAGGAGGAAAAGACCTGAGTGTTTCGACTGTTGGATGTTTCCGGTGTAAGGCCGGAACCCCTTCTGCACCATAGCCACAGGAACCCATGAAGAATGCAGATCTGGGTGGTGCTCTTGAATCCAACACGGCTGTACCCCTCCTTGGGACGCGTGGGTTGGAGGTCCACAAACACCACCAAGGGGGCCTTTGGTGCTCGCCTTTGGTGCTAGGTGCCTTGGTCGCAGATGGAGGCTCTCCTTGAGGCAGACGTGGCGCTGCTGCGGTCTCAACTGGATGCCTTGCCCATTTGGGACCCCGAGCTGCACACGCGCCTGAGGCGGGTGCGTGATTCGTGTGGATTCGTGTGGATTTGTTGGGTGGGTTGGGGTTTCACCGTGGTTTTGGGTGGTCCATCCAATGTTTGATATCACATTCTTTTGGAGAAAAGTGGCTCCATGTAAACGATCCTAATGACTGTAACTGGCAAGTTCGCTGCCACCTTTTTGGAGTTGGCACTGGCTACTGAAGGTGAGGCTGGTATAGAGCCGCAAGCCTCAGAGCTCCATTTCTTGCAGCCCACTGCTTCCCAAGCCTGGAATCGGACGCAGGTGATTCAAGTGTTTGAGGGAACTGGGAACCATTAGGGAGTTATTGTTGGTGAAGGTTGGTGGGCAGTGGGTCGAGGAAATACTAGATACTGTACAAGTCCAAGTTCACTTTGTTCGCCACTAGGAGGTTTCGACAGATAGGCCCCGTCATTTGGTTGGAAAGGATTTGGTTGGCAGCACTCCTGGTCACGGCTGTGCCCCAGGTTGGTGATTTTAGGCAGACCATTTAGGTAAGCTGGAGCAGATCGCGGTCACGGTCTGATGAGGAGAGGGAGAGAGGGAGAGACTGAGGAACATCGGAACATCTGGTGATCGCAGGCTTCACTAGTCACCAGCCACTCACCACAGACAGCCTCGTCGATCTCTGAGATCAACGAACGACCCGAGCGCGCCACTTCGAGAGGCGCTGGGCTTCGGCGGATGGTGCTCGGGACCTAGAGGCCGGTGAGAGGTATCGCTTTGAGGCTGGGCATGGAGCTTTGGGGGAATCGGCCCGGGGGACGGCATGGTGCGCGCTTGGTTGGTAGGTAGGTCTATTTGCTGCAGCCTGTTTGCGCGGATGTGGCTGTTGCAGGTTTTAACACATTTTCTGACCTTGTGTTTTGGATGCCCCACCCTCTGCCACCCTACGGCACCCTTAGGGATGGCGGCTGAGCGCCCCTACGGATCCTTCAGGGTCAAGTGCGGGCAGTTGGTCTTCGCATACCGCTTCTAGGAGAAAAGGTATTGTGCTCTCGCGGTTTATGTAGATGATGGAGGTGAACCCCTCGAAATCTCAGAGAGGCCCTCATGCTGTTAAGGAACATGACAGCAATCCAAGCCACAAACCTTTGCAGAGTAGAATGGCTCCCCCCAAACAAAGGAGATCAAAAAAGGTGAATCTCTTTACTTGGTGATCTATGTCTTCATGAGGGCCCCCCCCGCAAATCCCAAGAGAAACGTCAGATCTCGTCTCAGGTCGCACCAGAAGGTGGGGCCTTGGAGTGCAGTGGCACCGTCTCGGGCGAGTCCTTGGCATTGCTGACCGGTGAGGCACGCGTCGAGCCTCCGCGTGCCGCACGCTGCGGGCGTTCTGGTGCCGTCCGGGTTGGGCTCGAGGTCGGTGGGTCGCCACAAACAATGACAACCAAGGCCGCTGCGTCAACGCAACATCCACCGTAAATTTCTGTTGTGACACTTGTGAAGATTGGAATGAACACATGGCATTGAAGTTGGAGGACACGTTTCACATATCATGCAATGACAGTATATACATACTGTATATATATATATATGTCTATCCATATTTCCACCAAACTGGGCCACTCGCAAAGCTTCAGGGTGTGAGCTCAAGGCGGTGTGAACCTGTCCGAAGATATGCCATGTGTAGAGGGATCATATCTGCGGTATTTGCCGCATATGCCCTAAAGTCGTTGGCACTGCAGCGCAGGCCCCGAGCCGGTCTTCCACTTCGGCCTGGGTGTCTCGGAAGAAGTTCTGATTGGCGGGGTTCGATGGGTGTTTCTCTTCAGCCAACTGAAACCATTTGAGAAAGTCTGAGGGTCTATCCACATGGAACTAGCAAACATGGTTTCTGTATTGTTTTTCCATCCAAACGGGCATGGGACATGGGCAAAACTAAAGTTTGTGCCGGGGACCCAAGTCACAAATCACCCATCAAGAGTAAAAGTACCTGGACGAAATCTAATTCACCTTGTGTAAAAAACAAAATCTTCGGGAGCATGAGCCAAAAACATCTACCTCGCCTGTCCCAGCTATATACTGGGTGAAAATGTTTCATTCAAAAAATAAACTTTGTCGACGTGTGGAATAACACTCTTTTTCGACGGCTTGGCCCCGGTCGAGGTGTGGGTCTATCGCTTCACTTCGGCGGCCACAGCCGCTGCGCAGCTCTGCCACCATCCCACGCTGGCAGCCACGGCCAGTCAGTTGCGGGCGGCCGTGGTGTGCAGGAGAGCTGGCAACCGCACAGCTGAGTGCTGGCGACGGCGGTCTTTTGGTGTGCGGGAGGTGGCTTGAAGGTGTGGTAAAGACGACACGGCGAAATGACGACATACATGTTTGGAGTGACAGAGCGATGTATTTGACCTCCCACGGGGGTCAGATATCCCTCGAGGAGAGGAAACATGTAGAAGAAGCCATGTTGAAAGAATCGAACCAGGACGCCCAGAGAAAGCCAGCCTGAGAAACACCCATCCAGTGGAGGAAGTGCTGGTTTCCAACCTCCGTCCATTTACTTGGCATTCTGATGCTTTCTGGTTCGTGCCTAGTAGGCTTTTCGGTTTGTGTGCGTTGCATGGGCGCGCCTTCACTGGATGTTGCGGCACGCTTCTTCAGGACTCCAGAAATGGATGCCGTCGTGGGCATGCAGGCGCATGGCGAAATCGGTTGAGCGGTGGTGGCGATGCCGTCTGGATCTGAAGACAGTGGCGTCCTCACAAATCGACCCAGTGGCGTACAACTCATGGTTGTGTAGTGTCAAGCATTTACCGGTGAAGGGTGAGACCATATCGCTCCTGGGTCTGCGTTATTTTTTATTAACCACCATGACCACAAGACTCAACAGAGGCGTCAGCCAATCAGTCGCTGTGTGAGAATCCATGGGTAGAGGTACCCATCATGTTTCTTGATTGTGCGGGCTCTACTCCAGCCCATCTACTGCTGGCTGGCTTTTTCTTCTTGCTTCAGCCTCGATGAGAAACCGAGTGACCCCCTTTGGCAGAGAGGGCAACATGGGACCCCTTTCCCAACCCATGAATGTACCTGGTCGCCCTTTGACCGCTTGAACCCCTCATCTTCAGGGCCCTCGCCCTGCAGGTCTACTTGGCTGCAGCCTGGCGTGCCACATCCTCGACCCCTGCACCACCCACCAACACTCCATTGCCACTGGCCGCAGCCGCACGAGGGGAGAAGCGCTTGAGGCAGCTGGCGCTGGAAGTGATGGTGGCCGAGGTGCGGCGCCCAGAAGCGGAGGGGCTTGGTGTGGCTTTCTCCGGGCCCCGGATGTTGAGAACCGATGTGTGCTCCTGCAGAAGTGCGTCGTGGGCACGTTTCATGTCAGAACCCTGTGGAGAAAGGGCCTTGTGTATGCTTTTTCGAATGCAGGCAGCCTCCAAGCTGGACCTTTTTGGGAAGCGTGAGATGTCACGTCCTCCAACTGAGCTTTCAGCGCTACTGGGGCCAACCGGGGCCGGTGTTACCAAAACAACAAACAACAGGTGTAAAAAAGCCGCCCGTGTTGGGGTTCCTCGACCTGCTGGGCCCTTTGACCAGGCCGTGAAAAACGCCAGGCCTTGGACTTCTCCTCGCTGGCGGCCTTGCTGCGGGCGGAGCTGGCCTCGCTCGCGCAGGCGAGTGTGGTCCTTTTTCCCCGTTGTGGAGGGGGACGAAGGTTTGGGTCCGGGGCCTTCGGGAACCCAGTGGTGCGAATTCCGGGACCAGGCTCTCAGAAACGGTTCCACTGCAGCGCCGGCCGGGCCGCGCTTCGCGTGCCGGCTGGCGGACTTGGCTTGCCTGGATGAGGATGGGAAGGCCAGGGTCCGATGCAGGGACGGTGGACAGCATGTCTTTCCTGGATTTGTCGACTCGGGTGCTGCCTCGAAGCCATCATGTACATGCCAGTACCTGGTGCCTGGAACACCAACCAAAATCTAGTGACTAGTCGCTTTAGATGTATTGATTGGCCATCAAACACCTAAATCTGACACCCATGGGCTGTCACAAAGGGCACTCCAGAAATTCCAAAGAGTCTCATGAAGACACCGAAGTGGTGCCAAAAAGTTGAGCGTTTGCGTCGTTCCTGGTGATTGTTTGCGGTGTGTTTTTGGTAGTCGTTTCAGGTGGTTCTAACGACGGCATTGTGTTTCTTTCTAGTCGTTTACGTATGTCTATTTTGGCAAGGCGGTTTTTCCGGTGAGGTTTCGACACACACCAAAAAAACAGAACACCAACGCCCGGTGGCGTCTCAAAACTGATTAACGAAGATAGAAATACCAACAGAAGCACTTTCGGTCTTCCAGATGTTCACCTTACCTCTCATACTCTTGGGCTCAAGGTTTTGACCCACCGTTGTGCTTCGGTGGAAGAGAAGCACTAGGCACATTCTCCAGCGGTCTGCCCGGCATCCGCACAGATGCCGGGCAGTGTGTGGGAAAAACGGGGGCCCCTCCTCGTTCACCCCCCGAGCTTCGCGGCCCGAAGCCAGGAAGACAGTGCCGTGGAAGAAGTCGTTGGGGTCGTTTCCCCCGTGGGAGGCCGACGTGAGGGACGGTCCGCGAGAGATCTGCCTCCTTCTGCGGCGATCGATGTATCGACGGACCTGATGCGGACAATCGAATTATCTACTGGCATCCGATCATGACAAGCTTACAACATGAGAGAGATGTCAACGAAAAGTCTTCCGGTAGCTTTTCAGAGGTCGCTGGCTCCTGAAGAGCTACAACAGCTAAAGCCTCCAGCTCCAATGCCCAGTTCTCTCAACCAACCATCAGAAAGACCGGTCATGACTGAGTCTGTTTCGTTTTTGGTGAAAAGCCTCATCATGGAACACGCCGGTGCCAGTTTTGCACATGAAGGAACATGCTGCCACCCTGCCCAGGCCCTGCGACTCGGCATCCGAGGTACGCCCTCCATCCCGTTGTCCTCGCACCGCTCGGCCGGGTTCGCCCAGTGGGTGGGATGAGGGTCTGACCTCTGGAAAAGGACGAGTCCCATCAGGTTTTGTGGATTTCAGAGGGTAGGGGCTGTTTCAGAATCTGGAACAAGCTGTGCTCCGCTTGGCCTGAGTGAAGACGCCATACGCCGTCGTGGATAGGTATACGGCTACGGCTTGACTCGACCAAGTCCAAGTATTGAGCCATGCATAGGCAATAGCCATGTCCGTAGGGGCAACACATGTCCGTTTCGCCATTGTATGTCTCGCAAATGCAAGAAGGCATGGGCAATCGAGTCTTCACATGTTATCGCATGTTCACCCTCAGTTCGCTCACCACCGCCTTGCCAAATCAAGAACGGTGAGCCTGGAGCGACCAGCCACGTTTGATCCTAAATCACCATGAGCAAAATAAGGGGCACCAGTTCGGAAGCCAGACCAGCCTTCACGGTGCGTTTCGCGAACCCTTTGCACATCTACAGAGTCTGACACATGGTTGGATTCAAATAAGACGCGGAGAAAACGCGCGCGCCAGGAGTTCTCAGATCCACCCAAGTGACCAGTGACCTTCTGTCTGCGTCTTTGAACTTCTGAAAGGTTTCGAAGGTTGGTCCGGGTGGCTGAGAAGCTACTAGGAACCAAGGGCATCGCTACGAACAGAGCGATCGGACGCGACGAACGGGGCTCCTGGCCTTACGACGAACGGAGCAAGGTTCGCTACTAGGAACAAAGGGACCCACCATTCCATGGGCCTTCGAAGGGTCCCGGGAACGCCCTCAGGAACGCCCATCCCGGAGGCGGTCCAGGCTGGCCCCGATGCAGTGGACGGAGAGGAGGAATCCGAAGATCAGTCGGGTATATGTAATTAGTAATTATATATATAGTATATAGGTTTCATAGACTCAGCCGCCCCCCCAAGTGGGGGGGGTACTTTTGGCAGTCAAGACTTAGTCATGATCAGTCAAGTTCATTCATCAAACCCACAAAAACACACCTACCTGCGCTTTTTTTTGGGGAATGCTGGAGCACATCTGAGGCCTGAGATGTCGGAGAAAGCGCTCCTGGAGTCCGACGCACGCACCGCCGTGGGAGTGGCCGGAGGGTGGTGTGTGTCCCGTTCAGCGGCTGTCACCAGAACCTTTTGGTGAGTCTTGAGGCTGCCTAGCACAGGGCCTAGGGCTTAGCACCCGCACCATGACTTGCATCGCTGTGGTCAGGGCAAGGAGGTGGACAAATACCGCAAACTTCCATTGCTGCACCTCCTCCAAGCTCCCCAGGACCCATGTTTGAAGTCAGACTTCCCCACACAAGGCCCATTTTTCCCTTTTTGGTATCTGATCTTTTCCCAGACAAGAGGGCTCTTTTGGGCGTTTTCGCTCTACTGGACCTCTCGGCTCCGCCCAAGGACGTGACCGCCGCACTGGCCGCCGCCAAGCGCCTCTTGAAGCGGGATCTCTCTGAGGCCGGGAGCTCGGTCGTGGAAGGTCCGATGGGCGGGGTACCGGGTTGGTACTTACTATTGATTTGGTTTGGGTCTGTCCTATTACCTGTAACAGTCAGTGAACAATTATATTACTATTTTTGAACAAGGCCTGGATTTGGAGGCGGTTTTGGTGGCGGAATGGATTTGGCGATCGACATCGATCGCCCGACTCCAAGAGTCGAAGGTGTTTATGTGGAGGAAGGCTGCACCACTTCAAGGAAGAGAACAGCGAGAGAAAGGGTCATGTAGCAAGGGAACCCCCTTGGCCCCCTCATGTTCGTGGGACGGCTCGAAGGAGATGGTGTCGGGTTTCTTGCTGGCCCGGTCTCACACAGACACAACCGAAGAGGGAGAATGAGGGGGAGGGAAAAGACCGTGCCCACCAAAACGGTGCAGGAGTTGGTCCATCAACCCGCTCTTTGATCTACTCTGTGTGCTGTCTCTTGCATGCACTGCGCAGCATGTGAGAGCTAAGCTGATTGTTTAGGTCGGACACGTTTCTGCTTACTCTAGTGCCCTAGGGCCATGATCCCCGTTTCAAACGCACAACATCAACCGCAGAGGCGAGAAGGACAGAAAAAGGAATGGCCAAGGTCTCGCAATCAGATGTTTCCGAGTCTCAAGGTCTCACAGTCTCGCCGTCCGACTGTGGTGCAGTGCACGGCCGGGTGACGCGATATGAACGGCGTGCTGGGTGACGTGAAGCAGCAGCTGAAGCTTGTCTGCCGATCTTCGACGTGGTACGCCTGTGCCTGCCTACCAAATGCCGAGTGAAACCGGGGTAAAACAGACACTCCTCTAGACACACGACAGAAGTTCGCAATCTTGATTCTCCTACTTTCCGTTGGCGGATGCCTGCAGCCTTCTGACCGTCTTGCTGGGACATCGTCCAAGATTTAATTTCAAGGCTTGCTTGACTCTCGTTTGGCCACACCACACCGCCAGTTTAAACTGCATTATACATGCAGTTCTTACAGAGATTTCAGGTGCGAGTGCTGTCTCTAGTCTATGTTGTGGTTGGGGTGTGTCAGGTTATTGTTCCCGGAAGGTGTTTCCACGGTCTGATCTTTTAATCTTGTGCCGATGCCAGGCCCCTTGCTCTTCAGCGTCACCTTTCTTGTCGCCCCTCTTGCTGGTTTTGTGCGTCTCCCAGTAGCTATTCTCTGCCCAAACGTCCTGCAAAGCCAACAGCGTTGAACCTTCTGCCTTGCTACACCATTTGATGCCCGCGGTATTTTCCCTTGTCATTTTTGAAGACGGCTTTTCTATTTTGTCTCAACTGTTGGCTAGATTCTTATCCGTCTTCATGTGTGTTTGCTCGTGCATTATTTGTCCCAAGCACTTCTTCATAGTCATCATAATCTCTATGCTGTTTCTTGGCAAGGCCTTTCTGCATCAATTTTGCCACATGCGAAGCTCCAGGTGCTCAACCCACCACCGCCACCGCCGCCGAACGCCAATCAGCTGGGCCAGCTGGAGGTTCAACAAGGACTCCGATGGGAGACTCTGGGAATCCCTGAAGGTTATATTTGCTTATGCTCATTCTGATGACAGAACAATATATATATATAATATACACATTCTATATCTATAATGTTCTATAGATCTTATTTTGGGAATATCATGTCATTTCTGCATCCTCCAAGACTCTGCTTGCCTCAGCCTGTGATGTTGTTCTTGCAGCCTTTGAGCGAGTTGTAGTGCCTGGAACCAACGTGGGTGGGTCCCTTTGTGTTGCCCCTTGAGACGTAAAGAGATGTTTGGGGCCCAGTTCGGCTGTGTTCGTCTCAGCGGCGGATGAGCAAAAAATGCATGCCGGGCGCACTCGGGATTCCTTTCCAGGATCCTTCATTGTTGGGTGGGGGTCCTGAAAAGGTGTTGAACGTAAAAACATGGGAGGCACTCTGATGAGAAACAGAAAGGCAGGGACATCGACAGACAGACCCTTTGCAGGAAACCACCATGGAAGAAGAGATTGTATACGTATCAGATCATATCAGGCTTCCATTATCAAGACGCGTTCAATTGTTGAGATTTGGATTCCAGTTTTCAAGGGGTTTTGGGGGATTCAGCAAGATTGCGTTCTCCCATTCTTTGAACAACTCCGCGTTGCCCCACCCCTCCATGGCACCATATGTGGTCGTAGGGCCAGGGTGGGCGGCGAAGCTTGGCCGCGTGATGCTGTATATATGTCCAGAATCCGTGTCACCAACCCGGTCGGACAACTGAAAAGCCTTGTTTAACGACTGGGTGGTTCTTCAAGCCTCACCCATTGGGCTCGGCTCTTTTCGGAGCTTCGACCCGAGGACTTCTGCACCTGGCTCGTGGCATTGATGCCAAAGCATTTGTACATAGTGGGGACCAGGTCCCTATCCGTTTGGCCGTTTTGCCGGACTACTCCATGAGCGTGGAGGCCGCATGAGGGGCTCTGGACACGGCCTTTTGGGCCGAAGGAGTAGGGCGAATGCTACAAGTGCCCCCCTTATATGTGGCCCGCATTGGCCACGTGCCTTTTGCTCACTGTGTAGTCAATAGTGAATGCCCTTGATTGCATCTCTGTTTAGGGTAATCCGTGCATGAATGCTTTGCCCGCCGAGGGCTAGCAGATGAACGCATGCATTTAGTCAAGCCCATTGGGTTCGAAGCCTCCATTTCGTGTGCAGGTCATCTCAGCCTTTTCTCAAAGAGAGATTTACCGTCGACCCATTCATCACCCGTTTTTAAGGTCGGTTTGCCCGCATGTGGCTCGCCTGCCACGGCTGCAGGTCTCGGGGGACGTGAGGCTCTTCCGTCTAACGGAGGTGGATCAGGCGGCGCTACGGGGCGCAGAAGGAGGTGTTGCTCGGAGAGTGCTTGTTTGTTTTTGGTTTTGGTTTTGGTGGATGGTTGGGTGGCCATGATTTCAACGAAAGATAGAAGAGAACAAGCAGGACATTAAGGAACAGTAACTGCTGAAGCATGACCTTGGTTGCAAGGCCTGCCTTGTCGTGCACAGAAGAGGCCTGACAAATCCCCCCAGCGCATCATGCTGCCCGCTGCGTGTTGCTAGGTGGCCTCCGGAGAGAAGGCGCTGGAGCTTCTAGAGGGTGTCAGCTTGAGGCTAGGCTTTGGGCTGGTTGGGTGTGGTCATGAAGAGGGGCCGGCCGGGGCAAAGAATGCACAGGCCGGAGATGCTCTAGGGATTATTATTGGAACGTTTCAGCTTTTTCAGGGTGAGAACGAGCGAATCCAAAGCGAGCCTTGTTCCTGAAGCCAAAGTGCTCCACAGGAGCAGGTCAGGGATCTTGAGTTGGTGATAGTCGCGGTGAGTTGAGTTCAAGTCATGACAACGTGTGTGGAGCTAGATTGTGCATATTTACAATGACCATGCGTGAACAATTCCAAGAATGCCTGACCAGTATAAGTTAAGTTTCCCCCCGCCAAATCATTAGGAAGCTCCTCCCCAGCCCTCAGGCGGGGGAGCTTCCTTTTTTTTTGGCTCTCAAGCCGCATCACGGGGTCGTCGGCAACTGCTAAGCTTCCGCAGTAGCAGTCTTGGAACTCTACATGCTTACAAGAGTGCATCAAATGGAATGCACCAGGAATGCGGAGTTTCTTTGGCTCCGCGCAAGAAAGCTCTACAAAGCATTTCGAGTGAAGCATTGTCGAGGAATGCTTCTGCACCTAAGAAGGCTCCTTTTGGGAAGGTGCGACCGTTACTTTTGTTTCGTTTATCCAGCAAAAGTGGAGCCACGACGATGTTCTTGTTCTTGCAGTACGAAATGGAGGCTCGAATGATGCAGGCATACGCCTGGGGCGTTGACAAAACATCAGGTGGGAGACGCATCGCCACCCTTGCATGAAAGCAAGTACAGCTAACTCGAAGACTGAACAAGCCCGCTTTTCACCTAACCGCCAACACAGCGTATTCGAGAATCTCAAAAAGAGGCGAAAGTTGTGTTCAGAGAGTGTTTTATTCGCTCGAAACGGCACTGCAGTATCCACTTCGTTCGTCCAAGGATACTGGCTGATGTTGGCATCCCATGACCATTTCGGGCACAGTTCACGGGGCGAAAAGGTTGTCACAGGCTCACCGGCAGGAGTATTGCTGGGCGGCACAGCATCATCAGGCTTCTTACAAATCCTATTCATCTTGGACAACCAAAGCTGCCTCGCAAACACATCTTGTTCTTTAACAGCGAGATCTGCCCTAATGTTCTGAGCCATTTGATGGATGTGCAGCTTGGCTTGAGTATCCGCCAGGCGATTGAGCTGAATATCAAGTCTTGTAGATCCAGCCTTGGTGGCATCTTCCTCTGAAATTGCTTCACATGGTAAATGCTCCAACAAATGGGCAGGACACCAAAGAAGTTGGAGTGGAGATGCTGCAAAACCACGGCGTTGTTGAATCAGACTCAACAAGAAGCCCCACCAGTTGGCATGCGTCCAGCAGACCTGCACTGAATCCTGTTGTAACAGGTCAGCAAATTGCTGGACAATGGTTAATGAATCAGTATGCACCACGAGTGGCTGAGCTGAAGTGGCAAAAGCGATCAGAACGGCCCATAACTCAGCACTATAGCTTGATAGGCGCCAGTGTTGCACTGAACCAACTGCCAGTATATCTTCATTTTCCGCAATCACAGAATAGGCTGCCAGAGTCAACCACGGGTAATGGTTGAGCTGGACTGATCCATCTGTCCAGACATGTGTCACACCAGCAAGTGGTTCCTGCCAAGGCGTCACCTGTATGTCCGATGTTTTAGAGACTTTCAGCTTGCTTCGAATGTTTTCCAGCGGAACTTCAGCAATACCGAGTATCTCAAAATTGGGACCGAAGTTTGTAGTAGAAAAGGGCTGGGCAATCTCTGTAGGCAACTGCAAGCACTCATCAACAAAGTGTTGCATGGATTCTTTGGGTGCATCACAAAACCTGCAATTGGGTTTGTCAACCAATCCTGCCGCAAAGGTTCTGTCTGCTGTAGGCGTGCACCCTGTCAAGGCACTCTCCCAATGAAAGAGAAAGGAGAAGCCAAGATTGGGCACTTTGGCAAGCCTCTTTTTTGCTGACAATGTCATGTTGAGGTCCAGGAAGCCAACAGCTGTGCGAACATCTTTGCGCGGCATTGCACAAGCGGTGTGATAGCACTTGTTGGCCGCAAAGCTCTTGAGAAGGCATCGCAGGTCGGAAATAGAAAAATCAAGGAAGCTCACCTCGTCAGAATCAAATACCGCAAAACCAAAGGGGGCAGTCCAAGAAATATCAAGGATCTGACAGGCTTGGCTGAACTGCGTAAGCCAAGATTGTGCTGTTAACTGATCCTGCAGAAATAATTGCTGCCATTTGTGTCTTGCCTGTTGTGATGACTGAAGGAAGCGAACTGATTCAATGATCGTGGTGACCGCCCTGCACAAAAAGGGATCCAATTTGTGGACCTTGTGAATAACACAAAGCAACAAATGCTTCGATCGCCATTTTGGCCGATTTTGCCACAATGCATCTGCGATGGCGCACTGTAGCTTTGCAAGTTGTCGCTTGGGCAGGAAGTTCAATTGCGGTGCAAACGCCACTTGTGGTAATACCTTGGTGGCGAGTATCTGGGCCCTTGTGTAGCTGTCGCATGGGAGGGACCGTATGGCTTCACAATCACGCAGTGCTCCTTGCAGCGTGGACATGGGAAAGAGACCCGCATTTTTTTCTAGTAGTTTGGACATGGGCTCCCAGGATGTTCACTACTTCGACAAGTTTCATCTGGGGAAAAGCATGGCGAAGGGCTCTGCGCTGCTCACCATTTGTTGCAAAGAGCTCGCATTTTCCTGCATTGAGGAACTGACCACAAAGGGAATCCCATAACTCAGTAGCCTTGACAGCAGCAACCAAATGATCAATCTTGGCATCCCTCGTCCAGAGATATGTGTCGTCAATGAAGGCTCGAAAATCCACACCAGGGATCTGACCAACAATCCATGTCCAGATTGCCATATGAAGGTTGATGCAAAGAAGGCTGAGAGAGCGTCCCTGAACAACCCCATTAGCTGTCGAGATCGGTTGTGCTCTGGTCCATTGTTTAAAAGCCAGGAAGCGTGTCATTCTGGAGTATAGGGCCACAAAGGCACGCACAAAACCGACCGGAAGGCCCAAGGTCAGCATAATGGCTGCGCATAGTTTAGGCATCAACCTATCGAAACACTTCGATTTGTCTAGCTTGACAGCCGCGAAGTAGCCGTGGAAGCTATGTGCATGATCAATTTCCATCTGCAGAGTAGAGTGTACTTCAGCCATCTGGCGACCTTTCACTCCTCCTTTCAATTGCATTGGCATGACGGTTTGTTGCCAGGTTTGCAATTGGAAAAAACGAAGTCCTGTGTAGAGCAAGGTGAAAATAGACTGCAGGGAAATCAACCTCTTAGAAAGCGGCAAGTCACTTCCATCCTTATTAAAAATGATCATCTTGACTTGGGTAAGGATGGTAGGGAACTCAGTCGTCCCTGCTTCAATGTCATTGAATAATTCAGCCACTGGCTTGAATGCTGATGGAGGGAGCGCCTGTACTTCACGGGTAGCCCAGCCATCAAGACCAGCTGCAGCATCTGGCCGGCGACGAGAGGCTTGTTCCCACAGTAGAATTTCTGTGACAGGCGGTAGTGCAACTTTCTGTCCTTTGTCGTGAATATAGGGCCAAACCTGCTTCAAAATCTGCATCTCATGTTGATGATTCGCATTGACCGAGAATACACTATCCCATTTGCCAGCGATGTGGTCCATAGCACACAGCGGGTCATATATGATGTTACCCACATCATCTTCAACAAGGTTTGGAGGAACAATTCGTCTCTTCCTCTTCAAGTACTGGTAGGAATCTTGCCAATGGAAAGTGATGAGGTGGCCTGCTTCATGGCCTCACGCCACTTCTTGATGGCTACCAACTTCATCTGCTTGAGTTCAGTATTGATTGCTCCCAGCGTGACATCAATCAGATGCAGCAAATCGTGATGGAAGATCTGGTTCACAGAGGGAGGGACGATTCGTGCCTCTTTCAATCTACGCAGCACACGGCGCTGCGTGTTGTAGAAGGTCCGAGAATCACCAATGCCCATGGTCGTTCTTGCAAACCTGTAGGTCAGTTCTCTAAGAGATCTCAGGCAAGCTTGGAGAAGAAGAAGGAGAGGTGAAGCTGGGTTACCCGCACCTTCTTGCGCAACACAATAGCTGAGCTTTCGGAACTTGGGAAGCTTCCCTCGTTGGCGAGGCCCTTTAGCCCAGTTAGCACCATTGAGCAGGAGGAGTTTGATCGCATACTCATTGTAGATCTCCCATTTGCTGTCTGCATTGGTAGCACACTCAAATTCCGGTTGATATGACCGCCAAAGTTCTTCCCCCATCAGGTTCACAGGGCAAGCGGGATCAGCAGTATTGGTGGTAACCACTTGCTCCAAGTCAAACTTGGCAAAGTTTTGAAGCACAGTTCCAACCTGTTGAATTCTCGTCCAAGCAAAGTGCGCCTGAACCGGCCGATGCTGACGGTCGGGGTAATCCAGAATTTCGATCCTCACCAACGCAGTCAGCGCTGTCCGATTCATTAATATACCATCAATGGATGATTGCCCCTCACCCTCTTCGGTAGCAGCAGATTGGAAGAAGGTCGCGGGTCGAAAAAGCTCACCTGCATCATCAGTTTGGAGCAGAGGATCGGCCCACCCCCAATTGTCGAGAGCAAGTTGGACAGCTGGGTACATGCCGGGCTCCATCTGAAAGTCTCCTGCTATCACTATCGGGATATCTCCGAACTGCGCCGCAACGGCAAAGAGTTGGTTGAGCATCTCATTGTTTCTCTCAAACTTAGCCCTCTCTGAAGCCGCATTGGCGATGGCGTAAAAGTTGAAAGCCAGGAGCTTGACACTGCTGGACACCTGGTGCCATGTAGCAGTAACACGGGCCGTACTTCGAAGTAGCTCCCATGACCCTGACATGTCCTGCTGCTCATGGAAGATTTGAGTGAATTCCTTGCGGGCACAAGTGGCAGTGCCTCCAGAAGGGATGCGGAAAGTCCCATTGCTGGCTCGAAGTTTCTGCAGCGGTTGAGAACAATAGAGATCAAAGTGACACACTGCTGCTTTGC